GGTTTCTGAGGTTAGAGGCAATGTATGTGTTGTAGATGTTGAAAAGTCTGACAAAGATGTTGTCACATACTGAAACTGACTCGGGGATGGAAATGAAAAATGTGTCTGACCCTGTAGTTGGAAATATTGATACTATGGCAGAGGATACCTCAGATGAGTCCGTGGTGAGTGGAATTAATTCAGATGATAGTGTGGGATCTGATAATGCTAGGATGGTTAATGTTGTGCAGCAATGTAGGTGATGAGAAGGAATTATACAGGGAGAGCAGAGAACTGTGCTTTTAAGTGCAGCGGATTTCTATGCGCCGGAAGCGTATTTTAATTTCTATTTAAAAATTTCCACTTTCGCAGCCAAATTTAAATAACACCTATTTTCTGTTTGTTACATGTTCACCTTCACATAGCATAAGCTTAAAAAAAAAATGCAGTTCAAGTTGCTTTTACTTGGGTCCTTGGGTTAGGGTTTCTTAGCTTCTTAAGGGGTTAAAAGAGTATACTTGCTTCTTCCTCTTTGTAATGTTAGGAGGGGTTTGTAAGGGGTTTATTTTAATTTGTAAAGTAGATTTGAACAAAAAGGTTAAAAGCCTGGCATTTGCATTGTATGTTATGAAGTTAATGAGAGAAACACAATCCACAAAGTTCTGTCCTAAGTCTTTCTATAAGGATAGATCACTATAGGTATAGCTTTCTCTATAGGTTGAACTCGAAGGACTTGTGTCTCTTTTCAACCTGACCAACTATGTAACTATATAAAACTGTGAAGGTGCTCAGAAAAACCTGAATTCAGCCATTTTGCTTGCTGCAACAAATCATCTAACAGGAACAATTTTTTAAGCTTCTTTGGGATCCCTAGGTGTCATTAAGGGTCTGAAAGACCCCTGATGTCTCCATAAGGAGGACCTGTCATACCCTACCTGCTATTACATAGGGGGCTTATTAGCGTGATGGCAATAAGTTTAGTGTAAAAAAATAATAATTTAAAGTAACATACAGTGAGGAAAATAATTATTTGATCCCCTGCAGATTTTGTAAATTTGCCCACTTGCAAAGAAATTAAAGGTCTATAATTTTTATCATAGGTGTATTTTAAATGATAGAGACAAAATATCATCCAAAAATCCCCCCCCAAAAAAACCACGATACAAATGTTATACATTGAGTTGCAGTTCAGTGAGTAAAATAAGTATTTGATCCCCTACCAACCAACAATAATTCTGGCTCCCACAGACTGGCTTTGTGATACACAGATTAGTCCTGTCAATTTAAGAAGGTGCTCCTAACGACAACTTGTTATGTATATAAAAAGACACCAGTCCACAGCTCTGTGCCAGCTCTGATGAAGGGGACATGTACCCGAAAACGGGTTCAGCAGTGGTAGCGTGACTCTGTGGGGAAAAGCAGAGCTCTTGGATTGTCCACTAAGTAGTCACTAAGGATCATTAGTCCATTGACGTTTCTAACCCTTGCTTCCTTTGGGAGTATATATTTTTGTATACCTAATTTTATAAATAAAAGGGTTTATTGCACCAAGAAAGGCGCCCGGTGTTGTTTTATGTTTATATGTACAGGCTTGTCGGAAGTTGGCCAATAAACATCTAAATGATTCAGAGAAGGATTGGGAGAAAGTGCTGTGGTCAGATGAGACCCAAATTTAGCTATTTGGCATTAACTCGACTCGCCGTGTTTGGAGGAAGAAAAATGATGACTATGACCCGAAGAACACCATCCCTACAGTCAAGCACGGAGGTGGAAACATTATGCTTTGGGGCTGTTTCTCTGCGGTACAGGCCGACTTTGCCGCATTGATGGGCCAATGGACGGGGCCATGTATTGTAAAATCTTGGATGAGAACATCCATCCCTCAGCCAGAACTCTGAAGATGGGTCGTGGATGGGTCTTTCAACATGACAATAACCCAAAACAAGGCAACAAAGCAGTGGCTCAAGAAGAAGCACATTAAGGTCATGGAGTGGCCTAGCCAGTCTCCAGACCTTAAGAAAATTTATGGAGGGAGCTGAAACTTCGAGTTGCCAAGAGTCAGCCAAGAAACCTTAAGGATTTACAGAAGATCTGTAAAGAAGAGTGGACCAAAATCCCTCCTGAGATGTGTGCAAACCTGGTAACAAACTGCAAGAAACGTCTTACCTCTTTGCTTGCCAACAAGGGTTTCTCCACGAAGTACTGAGTCATGTTTTGCTTGGGGATCAAATACTTATTTTACTCACTGAACTGCAACTCAATTGTGGGGGATTTTTGGTTGATAGTCTGTCTCTATCATTTAAAATACACCTATGATATAAATTATAGACCTTTAATTTCTTCGTAAGTGGGCAAACTTACAAAATCTGCAGGGGATCAAATAATTATTTTCCACACTGAATAAGAAAATTAGGAAAAAACCCCTATGTGATAGCCAATTCACATGACAGGTCCTCTTTATGGAGACTTCAGGGGTCTCCAAGACACCTAATGTCACCTAGGGACCCCCAGAGAAGCTGATGAAGCAGAGATCTGCTTCAGCAGCTTCTCACCGGCATCTGTAGCCGAAAATGACAGCTGAAAGCGGAAGTGATGTAATATACATCACTTCATGCATTCGGGGACCGGAGAGGAGATCAAAGGGAGAGCTGCCTGCTGACTTTTGAGTTTTCCTCTAGTCTAGTAGCTGGGAAAGTATCTGTACTTGTACCAAGTATGATACTTGGTATCTGTGCATCTCTAGTTTAGATGCCTCTGGTACCAAATCCTAGCATCAAATTGCCTTTACAATTGTTGCGCTTAAAGTTAGAATCGATTCCTAGATGCAGCTGACTTCTATTTTATTCTAAATACAGATAAACTGACTGTAGAAAGCATCTAGACACAAGCTGTGAATATAACCTCTGGAATTAATTCAGGGGTGTGGAATTCCTATCGCCCGACGCCCGGGAAATGCAGTTTCGGGCGCCGGGCGAGTAGTTTTTTTGTACACTTAGCCCCGCTCCGGACAAGCAGAGCCAAGCGTACAGTGTATCCGTTTTTCGTCTGCTCTGTGTTATCACAGACCGTGGCGCTGTAATCACAGCGCCACCTGTCTCAGCTGTCAGGAACTACACAGAACATATGTTCTGTGTTGGAGGGCAGGTTTCATAAAGAGAACCTGTCACCTCCAAACTATCACTTAGAGGATTTTAAATCCCTATGTGATATGAATAAAATTAGGTGGGGGGAAAAAAAAATAAAAAATTAAAAACAAGTTATGAAAAAGTAAAAAATAATTAATTATATTAAAAAAAAAGTGACAATGTAAAAAATAAAATACAAAAAATGAACACCAAGCCCGATGCCCCCGCCATCTGCATGCAAATAAGCACACGCATAGGACATTGTGTGTGTGCATTGAGTGCTGCCGCCATTTCACTGTGCCATATTGTGGTAACGAGGCAGCAGAACTCTCTCACACGCACAATGTGCATTAAAGGGCAAGTTCACTTTCCCAGGTAATATGGGAAAATGGAATTACCCGATCAAATCTGGCCCCCGTCTCTTCCAAAACCCCCCATCCCCCGGCTATACTTACCTTTCCGCAGTCCTGCCCTATGCATTTTTAATTTCGCTCTCAAATTGCAAGCACTCATTGGTCAGCGTGGTCTGGGGACCACGCTGACCAATGAGAAGCGCTATTTAGCACAGACCAATACAGTTTTGATTAGGGATGCACAGATACAGAGTATTTGGGCAAGTACTTGTACTCGCCCAAATGCTCGATATCTTCTCCAATACCGGAACTTCTGGTCAGAGGAAGATTTCCTCTGACTGGCAGTGCCGTAGGGGAACATGGTGCCAGCTTCCCGTGCAATCAGGAAGTGGGGCAGCGACTAATGACCCGCCTCTCAGTTTCCTGATTGGCCAGGAAGCCAGCTCCTTGCCGATTGGCTGGGAAGCCAGCTTCCCAGCCAATCAGCTTCCTGACCAATCAGGTAATTACTCGCCGCCCGGTTTCCTGATTGGCCAGGAAGCTGGCTCGATGCTGATTGGCCGGGAAACCGGCTTCCAAGCCATTCACAATCAAGCCGGCCAAACAACATGGAGTCGGCTTCCCTGGCAGTCAGGAAGCCGGGTAGCATCTCATTACCCGCTGCACGGCTTCCTGATTGCCCGGGAAGCCTGCTCCATGCAAACAGAAGCACCGATACTCAGTGAGTGCTGAAAGCAAAATATCGGTGCTCGTACTCTATACCCAAAAACCGCTATTGGTGCATCCCTAGTTTAAATTAAAACTATTTTTTTATGTAATAGCCAATTTACATGACAGGTCCTCCTTATGGAGACATCAGGGGTCTCCAAGACTCCTAATGTCACCTAGGGACCCCCAGAGAGATCTGCTTCACCAGCTTCTGTAGCTGGGAATGACAGCTGAATGCCGGAAGTTATGTAATATACATGACTTCCTGTATTCGGGGACGGAGAGGAGATCAAAGGGAGATCGTGTACTAAACTCCCTTTGATCTCCTGTCACAGAGCAGCCGTGCCGGTCCCGGCCGCACCGGGCACAGCGGATCTCGAGAGCGGCAGTGACAGCGGCTGCTAATACAAGCGATCGGGCATCTCTAGAGACGCCCGATCGCTTGAATGTAAAGCTCCCGGCCGTCCGTGTAATTACAACGGCTGGCCTGGAAGCTACTCGTCAAGCCCTGAACATGAAGCATGGTCTGAAAGATAAACTTAACCTTTAAAAACTGTTGAGATACGATAGTTGTTTCATTCTTTTCAGTGTTCAACAGGCTGAAAGACACACAGTTTAGAAGCAGCAGCATGTTGTGGTATGGAGCAGCATTTTGTAGCATATTAAAGCACAGAGCCCAATTATGTAATGAGCAAATATGTCTGTCCCTGTGCATACATAATTAAAATCGGTTATAAGAAATAAGGTTTCTAAATCACTAGAACACATTAGTAAGCTGAATCCGTATCTAAAAAGTATTACAAACACTAGAATACTTTAACAGTATCATGCTGACCTTTTAGAAGATCCCTTCAAATTTTCTTTAGATAAAACAACCCCATCAGCATCCAGACAAATTTCTATATCTAAGATGAAAAATAAAAAGTTCATTATCATATATGAAGACAACTTCTTCCCCGTTTCCTGTGCAGTTTATTTTATAATGTAGCACCCTGCTAATAGGAGTGCTAAAATATATCTGTAGTCCATATTCAGTTTAATTATTACAGAGCAATCTGTGAAGCTGTATCTGCCTGTTGCTGGGTGTGGTACCACACAGAGCAGAGCAGCCAATAAGGATTGCTCTGAGCATTTATGTCTCCCGGCCAATCACTGTAGGGCTGTAGCAGTGATGCATGCTGGGAGAGGAGATAAATGCTCAGTGTGGCTGATGCAACAGTCTCTTCCCTCCCCCAGGGTCCTCCTGGGGGCAGGTGGCTGCTGAGAGACAGAATTGGCTAGGCCTAAGCCTGGACACTGGGGCCTGAGCCTGGAGGCCCAGTGGTCAGCCACTCATGTTGGAGTTGAACATGGACAAGAACTTCAAAAGTACTGCTTGCCAGATGTTCTCCACACAGATTGCCGGTACGGCTTAAAGGTCCAAGTCTGTGATGGCAGCAGTTACTATGCTCGATTTCTAAGAAAAGGAGTCTACCTCATCCTGGATGTACCTGACCCTCTACCTCTCTCCCTGGAGTTTCAGCAATAAAAGAGAATCATCTTGGATCTATTGCCTGGACTTCACTTTGTCGGTCGCCACTGGAGGTAGTAAGTGCTATTGGGGCAGCCATGTGTTTTAGAAATCCCTAGACAGGCTATGGAAGACCCAATCATTCCTTCGGGGGTGAGCGCTAGAATAATAATAATAAAAAGCGACAAGTGAACGTTTGTCATTTCACACAATGTCATGTGACTGCCAGCAAGTTTGAGAATTGTCATAACAATATGCTATGACAACCTGAAACCAAGAAATGATCAAGTGGGATCTGTGAATGATGTTGCTTTAAAAGGCCTAATGTTTTAATGTGCTCTACAGTATGTACTTTGCAAGTTCCTTGAACAGGATATTGTAAAAACCTTTGTGCTGTGTACTCCAAAGAAGTCATTTGCAATCCTAAACTATTTTACCTTATAGTCTGTTACAACAGGATTTCGAACTCAACATCTGGAAGTGCTTGTATAGAACAAAAAATAGTAGCGACAGTGACCAATCGTTTGAAGCCAAAGTGTAATGTATGCATATGGTACCTTCCTTTGTTCCTCCCCCAAAATCAACACGTAATTATAATGTTTCAACCAAAATACCAAATCATTGCTTGTTTAAGAAATACCTCTTCCGAGACCCAGGGACATCTTCCCTAGGTCTTTGATTTGAAGTAGGTTTGAGTTTGGTGGGAGGGGCACAATATGAAAAAAACTCACCACTCACAGTGGTTTACTTCTGTTTTAAATATGTATTTCTTTATTTCAAATAAATATTTAATGAGAAAAAACGTTTTCCAATTTACAAACAGCATATAAACAAAGACAACAATAATAAACAGACATAGTCCATTAATAAAGAAGAAAGGGGGCAGTGGACGAGGGAAAGAGCAGGGAATTTACAGTCACATTTGACTAAGGATAACGTAAGGAGGCAGCGGCACCCAAAAGTTATGAGAGTGAAGTTAGTTACAGGTATCTTATCGCATGAAATCGACTCAACCAGCAATAACAGAGGCAATAATCATTTGGCTAAAATTCTGCTATATGACATTAGTGACAAGCTCAACCTGGAGATGGGAAAAATAGGATTTTGGTACTCACCGTAAAATCCTTTTCTCTCCGTTTATTGAAGGACACAGGGATCGTAGATCATGTAGGGTATATCGCCCCCGGCAGGAGAAGGATGCTAGACACACACCAAAAAGACTTAACCAGCCTAGGGGCAGCCCCTGCTGGTGGCCAAACCCCCCACATGTTGACAAGTCTCCAGTAAGTAACAAGCAGTTACGAGTACACACCCAAATACAGAGGGCGTGACCTGTGTCCTTAAATGAACGGAACGAAAAGGATTTTACGGCGAGTACAAAAATCATATTTTCTCTTCCGTTCATTGAAGGACACAGGGAACAGATCGTAGATCACGTACCATAGGGACGTCCCAAAGCAGTAACAGGCAGAGGGGTGGGCAAAACCAATATCCCCAACAAGACCCCACGAAAGGGCCGCCTGCAAAACCTTGCGTCCCAGTCAGCATCCGCAGATGCAAAACAAACACCTCAGAAAACTTGGCAAAGGTGTGAACAGAAGACAAAGTAGCGGCCTTACAAACCCGAGAAAACAGAGGCACCATGGCCCCAACTGCCCCAGCGGAATGGGCAGAGACAGGAAAAAGATGCTCACGCCCCTTAATGGCATACGCGTGAACAATCGCATTACGAATCCATCGAGAGATGGCAGCCGAAGATGCGGCCCTCTGCAAGGGCCGTCTCTAACCACAAGGAATCTGACTCAGAAGAAAGCCGCAGCCCCCATATAGACGTGGAGAGCGCGAACCACATGCAATGCTCTCTCTTCCTATGAACGGGCTTCGGACATAGAGAAGGTAAAACGACGTCCTCATTCAATGAAACGCCGAAAACCCCCTGAGGTAGGGAGGATGACCGAGGACGCAGAACAACCTGGTGCCTATGAAGGACCCATAACGGCGACCTGCAAGACAAGACCGCCAACTCTGAACCCTGCGAACGAAAGTAAACACCACCCAAAAAAAGGCATGCGCGAGGCTCCTAAGATGGCTGCGTAAGCCGCGAGCTCCGTACCACGGCGGGCACCGACATCCCACCTGACCCGCTCCAGCACTAACGCCGCTACCTGAGAGGAGACTTACGGACTCCCAAACTCGGGCCGCTCGGTATGGCTGGGGGGAAGCAAAAGGGGATGAAGAACCGCTCAAAGAAGGGCCCGCTAGCTGAGGGGGGGGCCCTCGGAACAGAGATCCCCAGCTTCAACACTGTCCTTGCTGGAACACACGATTGCAGGTATGAGGCTCCCCCTATATGATCCCTCCAGTACTGAACGGCATAAGAGTGATGGGCAGGACAATGTAAACTCTCCTCAAGATAAGGACTCCCACACTGATTTAATCTCTAAATTTTCAAGCATGCTAGATCGTGGTCTATCCTGTATGGCAAGGGAAATCACCACAGAAATCAGGGGTGATCTGAGAGAGCTGGGCTCTCGCATTGAGCCGATTGAGAGTAAGCTAGATGCAACGATAGAACGCACTAATTATACACCTCCTGCATCCAAGATGTTCAGAGGCAATTAGAGGAGGCGCTGTCTAAAATTGATGATCTAGAAAATAGATCTCGACGCCATAACTTTAGAATCAAGGGAGCCCCTGAAACCATTTTAGATCTTAAAACTGCTGTTCAAACCTTCTTGAGAGACTTACTACCAGATGTCACAAACCCTCAATTAGAACTGGATAGAGTTCACCGCGCATCAACAGCAATGCGCTTTGAGGGCTCCTCAAGGGACATTATAGTGAAACCGCATTATTGTCATATAAAAGAATCATTAAAAAAAAGCAAAGACTGCACCAGAACTGATTTTTATGGGCCAACGTATACAGATTTATGCGGATCTATCGCCAGTGACTATTCAAAAAAGACACTCTCTGAAACCACTGTTACTAGCCCTAACACAACAAGGGGTGAACTATAGGTAGGCATTTCCATTTCGCCTGCTATTTTTCTTTAAGAATCAATCCTATTCTATTACTAACTTTTCAGAGGGCAAAAACTTGCTGAAGCGATTAGGGATAACCCCCAAAGACCATTTGCCACTATCTACAGCTGACCCTAAGCCATCTTTACAGCAGGCTAAAGGCTCACTCTCGCCTCTGTGGGAGAAGCAAGGCAGAAGGACATTATCCCAATTGCAAGGCCCTAGAGAACCTATAGATAATTGAGTCCTTATACAGGTGAAACTCGAATAATTAGAATATCGTGCAAAAGTAATGGCAGTAAGTGCTGCAAAAGGGGCCCAAACCAAGTACTGAGTACATATGCATGCTTGTACTTTTCAGAGGTCCGATATTGTTCTATGTACAATCCTTGTTTTATTGATTGCATGTAATAATCTACTTTTTTGAGGTTGTGGATTTGGGGTTCTTGGGGTTTTCATGAGCTGTAAGCCATAATCATCACAATTATGACAAATCACGGCTTGAATTATCTTTCTTTGCATGTAATGAGTCTATCTCATATATTAGTTTCACCTTTTAAGTTGCATTAGTGAAATAAATGAACTTTGCACGATATTCTAATTATTCGAGTTTCACCTGTACCTTGAAGAAGAAGAGAAGTGATAAGATAATAATACATGCATTCTAGATATTGTTATATACACTGTTAATATGCATCACTTTGTTTAGGTTGGGGTATATTCCAATAGGATATGCATTCTAGATACTGTAAGACTTATTGTTAATATGCATCATTCAGCTTGTATTGCGGTGGGCCCCGCCCGCCGTAGGTGGTCGTGCGCTCCAGTTTGCTCTAGTTCCCAGGGTGGCCTGGGGCCTAGACCAAAATATCGATCAACTAAGGTTGATCGAGTTAAATTGATACGGAAGGGGGATTCTATCCCCCGACTGGTCCTCTTCCCCCCTCCTTCTCTTTTCTATCTTTTTTTCTCTTATGTTTTCTTAAAAATTGTATTTGTAATTCTTTTTTTCATTTTTTTATTGCTTTGGGCAGACTCTAGGAGACATCGGATATCTTGCCTCCAAGTGCATAAACTTGAGGTCTGGGATGCTCTAAGAGGCCTAGACTACAGCTGGTATTAAAAAGCCTTATGACCCCTAAGGTAGTGGGTAAACCCTTGTCCTTTGCTTCACATAATACCCAGGGTCTAAATTCTCCAATTAAGAGAAGGAAGGCTTTCCAGAATTATTATTCACACCATATAGATATCCTTTTCCTCCAAGAGACCCACTTCCCTGCTACTTATTCTCCATCTTTTATGCATAAACATTACCCAAAATGTTTTTGGGCAAATGCAGTGGATAAAACAAAGGGGGTGGCTATATGCTTTG